AATAATTATGCTTCTTAAATTAGTAGGGGTAATGTGGACTTCAATTTATATTGAACATTTGCCATTTTATTTATTTTCTTTCTTTTTTTTGTTATTATTTTCGTTGCAGTGAACAATGCGGACTACGACAAAAGGACTTATTGACTATCCGCCCTACCCTTGCATATTAGAAGGATGAAAGCATGCAGCGGGGTTTCTAGCACCATCTAGTGCATAACGAGCTTATGAGCACCTGAGCCCATTGAGCGGTCTGATGCTAAATTTAGCCGCTGGTATGCGAAGTGACTGGTCAAGCGGTCTCGTTATGCAGATGGGGCCAACCGTCGCGGTCCGCTGGGCAATTTTTTGAAGTTTGTGCTGGCATAGAAGGATGTGATTAACAGGAAGAAGCTACACGGCTATTTCCATTGATTTAGCTGGGTCATGCCGCTTTGAACTAGCTGCTTTCATTTTAGATACCTTTGAATTGGGGTTATGCTTTTGAAATGGAGACCGCTCGCATCTTGAAATAACCGCGCTACCTTCTCCCACAAATACCGTCGGTTCAAATAATAATAACCATTTAGTTTAAAATGAGGCATGGTGTCCGTCTTGTGGCTGCCGTGTGATCATGACTCACATCCGCCGCAGTGGTCTGTGTGACCGCGCGAGCTGTTACCTGTGTGACCGCCCCTCTGTTACCTGTGTGACCGGTGGCCGGCCGGGTCACACGCGGCCGGCAGCGGCAGCTGCGCGCGCGTGTCGCCCTCAGCCGCTTCCCAGCGTGTCATCGACGGGGGTAATGGTGGGCTTCCGGTGCCCCCGACCCGGCGACCCCGTGAGAAGCCACTGGGCGGCCCTGCGGCCCATCGGCGGGCCCGCCGGAAACGATACTCCCACCGGTGATACCCCCCAATCGCCACGGCTGGCTCGCAATCGCCGGCCCGCGCGGCAGCCGCAACCCTTTGACGGACCGAGCCGACAATCACCGGGCGAAATGACCGGGTCGGAGCTAGTGAGGTGTGATTGGCCTCTCACTTACGGGCGCGATTGGTGGTCTGGCGACCTCGCGGCTTTCCAGTCGCCGATTCAGCTGATCATACACGGCGGCTGTCTGCGGGCGGACCGCCGGCGGACCTTCACGGACCGCGCCCATGGTCCGCGGTCCGCCCCTGGTCCAGTTCTGGTCCGCTATGGTCCTCTGTTTCCCCGCTGGTGTCGAACTCGTCCCGGCCCGCCTCAATCACGTCTCGGACGCCTCGGATCCTGCCCAAGACAGAAGCGGTAACTCAGCTCCCTGTCGGAGTGGCGATCTGCCACTCTCGCGCGCGTGCGTCTCGTATGACTGATCACCTGTGATCGGCTGAGACGGCACCGGGGCGCCGAGGAATGTGATCAGCTCCGCGCTGACTGCCTGATGTGGCCGCCCATCACGCTAATGCTTGCCGCGGCGCCTTCTCGCGGCCATAAATCGCTTTGGCGATTGTATAAGTGCGATATGTGGTCTGTGATCTGCTCAGAATGGGCTGCCGGCATGCAAGGCTCGGAGAACCCCACCGCAGCGCGGCGGGTCGTGTCAGGCCGCCCGGCGACCCACCGAGCCGCTGACAGAGACATCAGCACACGCGCGCCGTTTGTCCCGAAACGTGACCGAGCAGCCAGCGCGCGGCTGATGCGTGAGCCATTTAACCGCCTCTCCACACACCGCCGGGCCGCTCCCGTGCAGGCGGACACAGAAAAACACGCACGATGATCTGAGGAGCCGCTCTTCCCCTCGGCCCCGGGCGGCGCGGCGGGCAGGTGACGCTCCCGGGGTAATTGTGGGCGCCCCGGGCAGCGGCGGTGGCACTGGCGGTGATCGTGGGCGGGGGTCGCCGGGCCGTCGTGCGCCGCTGAGCACGGCACGCCGAACGGTGGGAGACGGCTCCGCCGCCGCCGGCCGGCCTCTGAAGAATGTCCGGCGTTTCCGGAGGCGAGCGAGGGGGTTCCTCGGTCCATACCTGGAGCGGCACCGAATGACACGGCGGAATGAGGCCGGAACTGAGCTGGCCAACTGCTCAGACGGCCCGTATCAGGAGGCGCCACTTCATGCCTCCATGCTCTCACTCAGGCCAGGCTGACTCTCCCATATGCAGCATTTGCTTGCCTCCATTCTGACCAACATCGCTTTTGACTGCGCTTCTCAGTCTCCCAGACACTAACCAGATATTAACCCGCAGATATAAACCACCCTATATGTATTCAGACCAGGGTTTCGGAGTCGTGGTAGTGCTGTTCCGACTCCGACTCCGACTCCGACTCCGGGCTCCTGACCGACTCCGACTCCGACTCCGACTCCGACTCCGACTCCGGGTCATACGAAGGGCAATGGCGGCCAACGGCCAAAATTTTGCGTGATGTGACGCCACGTGCCAGGTCTACGTGCACGGGGAGAATGCTCCTACTCTCCGGTTTGCTTCATGCAGTCACCATTTCTCCCACGTGGACGCAGCTGAATCCACAAGAGGTCAGCGGCCAGCGTGGAAATCCGCCGACGCCGAGAAGCGCGAGAGGCGGCCGTATCACGAACACGAGCATCGCCATCATGTCGGTCATTCCTATGTGTTGATACCTTTCGGAGCATAAAAGAAGAAGTAAAAATACCTTTTCCTCGATAATTAATTGCCCGTTGTCATTTAGTCTTTGACTCGTCAACGGTCAAATACTTCAGATAGTGGAAGTTATCACGCGCATGCATAATACTTGGCTACTAAATTATGATATACATAACTTGAAACTTGTAAGATCCAATGTTTGTCATTTAGAACAAAAACAAGATGTGTGCAATTTTTATTGCGGGAAGGGAATTATTCCGCGGGCAACTGGTAAAAAAAAAAAACTGAAAAGTGATATCACAGATTCTAGTTATTTTCCGGAGTCGGAGTCGAGGCAGGTTGACCGACTCCGACTCCGACTCCGACTCCTGGCTGCTTGCCACGACTCCGGGCGACTCCGACTCCGACTCCGACTCCGACTCCGAAACCATGATTCAGACCCACCCAGACCACCCTGTGTTGGGGCCCGGCCCAGACCACACCTCTGCAGGTCGGCAGACCGGCCGCCACCCAGCCGGCCGGTCGTGCTGGTGTTGTCAGCTGATCAGCTGTTCGGCCGGCTGACCGGTCGGCTCTCTCCTGCAGTGTTTGCAGGCGCCGGCCCCGCGGTATGGCGGCCAGCCGGCGACTCTGGTATGCCCCGTCTGGCCCGGCCCGGTCTGGCCTTGAGGCGTACAGGTTTCGACGGCGGCTGCCGTGCTGACCAGTGGATTCCGACCGCGCGCGGCGCCGATCCTCGCAATGAAAACCGCCCCTCCCGGCCGCTGTGGCCCTCAGTCGGTTGATTTTGTCAACGGCGTGTCAGCGACAGTATCTGAGGAAGGCGGAAATCTGTCCCGGCCTCGGCCCGGACGCCTGCGGTTGGGTGTCCGGCTGGAATGTGGTTCATTCTGATTCATTGGATTCATTGATTCGGCGGGGCGGCGCCGTTGCCATCTGACTCCCGAGTGCAAGCATGTGCCGATGGGCGGTGATTCATGCCTGAGATGGGCAGCGGTGAATAATGTGTTTATTATTCGAGTCGGCAGATTTATCAGGCTGGACCTGGACCTGGTGACCTTTCACAATACCGCAGGCCCGACTCAGAACTGGGGATTGTTGCGAAAGATCTGTCTCCGGCATTCCGGCAGAACTGGGGTTTTAACATCCGTGGAAATCGAACACTGGTTTGGCGTGAGAATGCTGTTCTGGAATGTTGTTTTGACGTGGAGTGGACACTGAAAAGTTGTCTTGCTGAGAAGCTCAGCGCATTCTTTGTGGATTGGAAAATGTTGTTCTTTCCATTTTTTGCCGAACATGACCAGACAGAAATGCGGAACCTGAGAAGAATGAAGTCGTAACTTGTTGTATTTGTATTGTCTTCTGTACACTTGTGCAGACCTTTTATACTCAGATTTTTTAGACGTAACTTGGGAAACCTGCCACAAAAATGTATGCCTATCTATCATTACAGCCCCCATTCATTCTTGTAAGGTCGACGCTTTTCCTTACACGTTGAACGTCCTGTGGCCCCGACTGAATTTCCCCAAGCTGTTGTGGGTATATTCAACGCCTTCCAGCCTATTTTAACATGATTAATTTTGCTCTCTTTGGTATGAACATGTCCCTGTTATCCTGTTCTTTTCTTTTGGTTCCTGTATCAGTGGAATGCCTGACATGTTTTGATTGCTTTACGATCTGGGAAAATACCAACTTGATGCGATGAAATGATCTAAGCCACTGACCAGTACAGAAAAGGGTATTAAATGACTCGCAAGCAGCGTGGTTGTGCACATGACCGAATGGACATGCCCTTACATTCGTCAACTGTAGAACCGCGACCAGTGTCGCACTCCTCTCCCCGGTCAGTATCCTAGTGTAACAACGCTGTGATAGCCGAGATTTTACTATCAATTCTCCATTTTATTGTACCATCCTTCCTGAGGGTAGGTCGCACAGCGCACGGTGGGTCCGACCTGCCCCGTAGCGCTGCCGCCGCCCTGGACGGTGGCCGCCGAGCGACGGACGACAGCCCTCCCCGCCACCAGACGGACCCGGTCCGTGGCGACAGACTGTCCCTGTCTGTCAGTAACCTATCTAACTGGCTACGTCCATCTAACTGGACCACGTCACTGTCCGTCGCTGATGTCTGTCACGAGCTTTATGACGTAGGCGCAGGAGCTATCATCGTACTCGAGTTTTATGGAAGAGCGGAAAACATTCTAGATTTTTGTGTCGGCTTGAATGGATTCCCCAGAATGCCCGTCATTCGTGCAGTCTGCAGATGAATGCCTGTTATGCACGCGAATTCGCCCTTCGGTGTGCCCCCAGCCACTGACGCGTTCCTCTCCCCTCTGTCACTGATGCCTCCGTCTCCCTCTTTAGCCACTAACGCGTCCGTCCCCTCTGTAGCCACTAACGCGCCCGTTCCCTCTGTCTGCCCGGCAGGCTGCTGGACATCTGTCACGGCCAGCGGTCCGAGCAGGGCAACCAGCTCATCCTGGTGCTGGTGTTCGAGCACATCGACCAGGACCTGTCGGCCTACCTGGAGAAGTGCCCGCAGCCCGGCCTCAGCCCCGGCCTCATCAAGGTCGGTGTGCCGCGTCCGCCGGCCGCGCCGACCCAGTCGAATGCTCTGCATTCGTACCGCTGACCCGAGTCCACCGGAACTCCGGGGCGGAGCGCGCCAGTCTGCATAGTCAATGAGCCGCCGCCTCCGGCGCCGCCGCAGGGATGGTTAAGAAGCAGGGACTAATTTTGATTGGATTGCGCCGGCGGCGCCGGCAGAGCGACTATCAAACGCACGTGCACTGCACGGATGGCGTGTTTGCCGTGTCATTAAATCCAGATGTTTTGCTTTGTCGCTTGGCTAAATGATGTTCCAGTTGCTGTTTTTGAGGTCGATTGCAGCCTGTTTATCGTGTACGCGGGGCGTTTAGAAACACACGGTGGCGATGATGGTTGATTCTCGTTTGATCACCAGTTTGTTTGGCCAGACACCCCGATGTCTGTGTTGGTCACGTTGTGTGACTTCATACCGCTCCCAGACGCTAAGTACACTGACGACCGGCCTCTCTGCAGTGTGGCGCCTCACTCAGTTTGTGTTAGTCCTGTCTGGGTCATGGTGCTGACTGCTGACACTGTTAGCTGGTGCACATGAGTAACTGTTTATCAAGTGGCAGATGTGCCGAATGTTTATGTCCATAAGTCCAACTTCGCTAAAGTCGCTAGTCACTGCTCTTTAAAACCATATTGTGAATTGTCATATTTATCTCATTTATACAGGCGCTCAAACTCAACCAAGACCTATCCATTCGCTCCGACTTAACCAACACACTTCACTCTCCAGTCTGACGTTGTTCTTACACGCGCCTGCCACAGAGCATGCTGTACCAGATCCTGGCGGGTGTGGACTTCCTGCACAGTAACCGGATCGTGCACCGAGACCTGAAGCCGCAGAACATCCTGGTCACAAACGGCGGCGACGTCAAGATCACCGACTTCGGCTTGGCCAGGATATACGACTACCAGATGACACTCACCAATGTGGTCAGTGATAGGCGCTATGGCTGTGTTATGGTCAGTGTTATGGAGAATCAGCGAGCCGGGGTCTCCCTGCCGGCCTCGCTGGGATTTGCTTACAGTAGGGACGGGCTCTGATGTCAAAAAGGCTAGGGTTGAATTGGAGGATATTGTGCTCAACTTAAATATTGGAGATGCTGGGTTTGATACTTTGTCCTCTGTAGTTTCGATGTAATTGGGGTCGCTTTTTAGCGCGCTAACTAGTGTTTGTAATTTGCCTTTAGTGTCTGGACACCCGAGAAGTGAGCTGCTCCAGTGACCTGACCTGCCCTCCGCCCCCAGGTGGTAACGCTCTGGACTCTGGTACCGGGCGCCCGAGGTGCTCCTCCAATGACCTGACGATGCCCCCCCCCCCCCCCCCACCCCTCAGGTGGTAACGCTCTGGTACCGGGCGCCCGAGGTGCTCCTCCAGTCCTCGTACGCCACGCCGGTCGACATCTGGTCGGTGGGCTGTATTTACGCCGAGCTGTGGCGGCGGACGGCGCTCTTCTGCGGCAGCAACGAGACGGGCCAGCTCGTCAGGATACTCGAGTGAGTCCCCGTGAGCTGTCATCAGAACTAGGCCAGTGAATCGTGATTGGTCTATATTCAAGGCGCCGATAACAACTGCAGTCTGGACACCCTAAAATCCAAGCCATTTTCATCATTCTATTTAGCCTGAGACGTCTGTCTATTATATAGAAAAGTCTGAGCCTGTTACGATGCCGTTCCTCCCGATGTTTAGAGACTGTACAACTGGGATTTTATTGCATCGGATATGGACTGTTGGATGTCTTCACCCAGCCGAGTGTTATTGCTTGGACTGGTTCTGCTCATCCGCACATTGGGCCAAACATTAAAACAACCTACTTGTAACGCTGTTTAAACCGGGTTCGTTTCTGGAAGTGTGATATTTGTTCGTCCAATGACATGTGTACTTATCTTAGGTGTCACTGAGAGCCAGGAGGATGGTATGTCAATGCACTGATCCAACACCCCAGAGTACGATGGTCTTTGGTGTAGTGTGTTTTGTCTCGTTTTAACATCACTGACTGTGCTACTGATGTTCCTTCGTTTACACTGTTTTGCTATTTGCAGTATCTTGCTGAATGTGCCATGTTTTATATTATTGCTGTGCTATTTTTCTTTTTTTAGCCATAGCTTCTAAAAAAGTCAGTTGACACTACAAACATAACAGCATGATTTTATCGTATCACACCCATGCTAAGCAATACTTTCGCTGTTACCATAGACTACTCCATATCAGCACTATATGATGTTATATTTGTTGTTTTGATCGATATTATTAGTAACTTCAGAAATGATAGCCTGCGTGAGCTTAGCATTTCTCCTCATAGGACGGACCTAATACAAATGTATGGTGCGCGTTTGTGACTTGATGAGGACCGTGTAAGGGTCATAGTAGGCTTCCAGTGTTAAAGTGACGGACAAGGTCATTAGCATCAAACTCAAGTCCTGTTTGCTGTTTTCTGTTGTTTCACGATATGTTGAGCCGTACCATTCGGTTATGCGTGTGATGCGTGGGCCGTGTTGTGACGTTGCGTTTCGCGCCGTTGCAGCGTGATGGGCACGCCAGACGAGGCGGACTGGCCGGAGAACGTGTCCGTGCCGTGGTCGTCGTTCCACCGGCGCCAGGGAGTGCTCGACAAACTCGTACCTGAAATCTGCGACCTGGGCCGCGACCTGCTCAAGGTGCGTACCAACCTGCCGCAGATGAGCGGGCAATGTACAGGGTGAATGGACCTGAAATACGTGGCCCGGGTCGGCTGAGATAGCGCGGTTTCACTATCATAACGGACATCGTACTGTGGCTTCTTTCCCATCCGTCGGATCAGCTGATAACTGTATTTTTGCGGTGAAATATGGCGTTCGCGTGTAAACCATACCGGATGCTGCTCCAGGCCTTAACTGGAGTTCTCAAATGGACATTTTTGCCGGTTGTTCAGCTTCAGATAGTTGTGATAACGGGGGCACGCAAAGCTTACTCATTCCTGGTGCCCTTTCCTGTCGCGTAGTAACACGAAGCTCGTGTGAAGAGCTAATGTATGTACTGACGCTGTAGGGACAAATAGAGCGCCGGCAAACCTCCGTGCTATAGAGACAGGAGTGCCCTAATGGTTAGATCCTCATTGTGTCTGCCCGGAAGACAAAACTGCATTCATTGTAATTGTCATGTGGTCAGAAAATCCAGCGTTTTGCATGTATCGCATGCCCGCTATCACATTCAGGCGGGTTCTGACTCTGAGTGTCACGTCCTTCGAGTTTTTACCCTGACCGTCACGCGTGGTCGAGCATTGATGTTCCGACCAGAAAACACGTCTGCATCGTGTCCAATTTGCGGGTCACATAACCCAGTGATATCATTTGCGGGTCACCCGATGCAGTGATATCATTGGCGGGTTATTCGATCATGAGGTCAACGACCCTTGCAACCCTTGTTTGGATGCGACTTGCACTGTTAATACTTAATATCAATCGCTTGTTTTCATTTGCTTCCTCGCCTCGCGCCCGTTCTCTGTTTTCCATTCTGACCTGCTGTATCCCTTCGTCTCCGTCGGGCTCGTCTTAGATATAACTATCCATTTGTTTCTGATGTCCGCCGTCCCTGCTTTCCCCGTCCCTCGGCGTGTATTCGGTATCTGACGAGCGCGTGTCCCCTGCTGCCGACAGCGTATGCTGGCGTTCTCGCCCAGCCACCGGATCACTGCTGCCGAGGCGCTGCAGCACGCCTACTTTGACGACGAGCGGATGGCTCTCAGCTCGCCGTCGGGCGGCCAACTGTCCTGCTCGAGCGCCAATGACTCGGGCACATCGAACGCCAGCAGCGCGTGAGAGGGCGCGTCACAGACTGAGCGGTGGCCGCGGGCCGGAGAGTGGTGCTGGACCTACCTGAAGTGGCTGTAGCGGTGCTGACTGAGCGGCGCGGGCGCCGCGGTGTGCGCCGTACCGGCGCCGGAGGTTCATTCCCAGTTATTTGTTGACGCCTGCATTCCCTGCGGGACCATTGCGCTCGGACCGCTGCCGGTCCGGGCGGGTTTTGTACGTGTTGTGTCTGTGTTTGTGTGCGCGTGTGTTGCGGGCGGGTGGCCCCGCCAGGGCGGCCCGGTGCCCTCGGCCCGGGCGCGCCATACCTCACAAACTGCCGGGTCGATCGCCGCTGGCGCTCCTCCTTCCTCGGGCGCGTCGAGCCATCCGCGGGCATTTCCAGTGGTCTGTACATAGGCAGCCGGCGGCGGGCGCGTGCCGTGGCCGCGCGGCCGGCGGACGGGCGAGCCGCCCCTCTGTGTATCAGTAGCCTCTCCGCCTCTGTTTCCTAGTCACTCGTCTGTCGTGGCGTGCCGAGGCCGTCGCCAGTCCTCCAGGTGCTACTGCGCATGTGCAGCTTCTGCGCACAGTCCAGCCGGAATTTCGTACTTATGTCAGGCGCTAACATATCAACTATCAGCTGCCGTGCGTGCCTTCGAGCGACCGTCCGGAGAGCGTCAGCCAGGTCTCCGTGAGGAATCCACTAGGATAATGTGTAATTTGTACATGCTTTGTTTCGATCGTTATATATTTCATACAAATATTTTGGGAACGTTGTTCGTATATTGTGGCTTGGAATGGATTATGAACGCTCAATCAGTTGAAGTTCCTGCAATGGACTAGGGATACATTTCGGTCAAGACAGGTGCTAAGTCTTGATTGTTTGATTCATCAAGACTGGCTGCTTATTTGGAATTTTGCAGTTACGTGCGTGGGGAGCAAATTCTTCTCGAATGTGTCCTTCCCGGGACTTCAACGAAAGTAGAAACGCCCTAGTGAAGAAAAGGGCGAAACTTGCTGGGGCGATACTGCCAAGGGACGCGGGTTCAGGGGGTGTCACCATCCAGCAACGAAGGAGATATAGCCAGAGAAACGCAAGGTATGGCTGGCACAGTCCTCTGGGACGGACTGGAGATGGGTCTAGTGATGAGAGAGCTAGAAATTAAATGTTGAGCGCACCACTACCAGTGAGCAGGATGCCGATGGGTTCCCAGAGCGTGCAAATATGTCCGAAATTACGTTGAATGGGACAACGGGAGCTCGACATTACGTGCTTCACAGAGCGTTATTGACCCGAGGGGCTGCTTTAGACCAGAAGGCCGCTATTGATCAGAAGTGCAATACCCTCCCCAAAAGTCAGTATACATAGTTGAGTATATTTTGTGTAAATGAGATCAGCATACACATTCACGCTAGCGTAGTCACCGCAACGCGGTAGTGACACTGACCGGTCACTGGTCAGTGAACGCAGGCATGCATGGCTGTGACGTCACAGACACTTGACTGGGATTGGACGGATCGTGACATTTCTGCGACAGTATCATCACTGCGTGGTCACCACACAGACAAGTAGTCATCACAGTACTGGACGGAATGCGTGGACCTCATACACTGTGCGTGACGTCGAATCGGGCGGCATTGGGATATTGGACGGACTAGCTGACATGACTAGATAGCTTATCATAGTACGAGCTCGTATACCTCATATAGTGCGACAACTGTGGATAATGGGACCGACACCCACTACCACTCATCCCACACATCGCTCTCACACGACTGTGATACACACGAATACCCACAGTTGCCCAACGGTGCCGTATCTGAATCAGACACTGGCAGACTGCAGGACTGGCCGTGCCGTGGTACTGAATGCATACAAATCTGGCCTGGGGGATTCCCTGCCGGTCGGGACTGGCATCCGGCGGTGCAATCGCTACATACATAACGCCTGCATCGAGATCAACAGTCACACCCCCGCCCTGAAAATGCCCCCGAAAGTCGTCTGAAACTGCCACAGCGCAACTCGACGCTCAACTGCTACTTTGAGCACGATGCTGCCGCTCAGTCACGTAAGACCGCTTCTCACACCCAGAGCACCCTAGTCTCAGAAACTGGGGAATTCCCTGTCATACCACAGGAGTCCGAACTTGATAATTCAGAACTTCCTGTGAGCTCCGTCAGAGCGGGCTGCTCGCGGAAACTCGCGAACTAAGGCTCCCCACTGCGGATGGTCTTCAGCAGCGACGGTATGTTGGAGTTTTTGAAGGCGGCGCGGCAGCCAGCGATCACCGCCGCCTTTGGTTTACCCACTGGGGAAAGGAGAGACGCCAGAAACGATATAACGCGGCGTAAGTGACACTCATTGGAAGTTAGAATGTGACATTTGAAGAGCCTTAAGGTGAATGAACCGTCGTTGAAGAGGCGAGGCAGGTTGGCTAAATTACTAGGGATTATGATGATCAACATGCTGAGATATTGAGCAAAAATCCCAAAATCATTGACCGCATTACCACCTAAACAAGAGGACATACCACCTTTGAAGCGTCACCGTACCTCTGAGTTTGCCAGCCTTCTGAATGGTCTGGTTGACCTGCTTCAGGCAGGCCATGAGCTCCTCGTGGTTGTTGCAGCGTATCTTGTAGTCGCTGATGAGGTCTCGGTTCACGTCGAACAACTCCATGTACCAGCGCTTCATCGACTTCCTGTCCACAGCGAGTCACCAGCGTAATATAGAGGTGAGAACGACTGACCAGTACACATTGTACCGCTACCGCATGACATTGGGAGGGACTGTGACCCTCTAGTTTCCGTTATTCTGAGACCACTTTCTGACGTCACCGTCGTTCGATTATCATGAACATTTCCGGACAGCTAGAAGTTCATCGTAAAGGCAAGGTCAACGAAATCACTGCATGCGCCTGCAGAAGACAGGATACATTAGAATAGTGGATGGATAGTGGATACCGGATAGAAATATAGAAATGGATCGATGAATGGATATACCAGATTGCCACTGAAGAACACAAACGATGCTGAGCAGAGCTTTCCACTCTCAAAGCCACCATCCCTCGACCAAGATCACCCATCCTAAGATCATCAGCCCGCTGGACCAGCCCTTCCCACACCCCAACCCATAGCCATTCAGCGGTACTCACATATCAGCCAGTAGCCTGGCGTCCTCCGCTCGCACCACCAGGCTGCGGATGATGCCCGAGTAGTCGGCCATCTCTGCCGTCAGCCGCTCGCGCACCGACTGGTACTCGAGCACGCGGGACAGCGTCTTCTCCAGCTGCTCCAGCTCAGCAGGAAAGTCCGCCTCGCACTGACAGAACAGAGGAGAGTCAGTGGTGAACTTTATGACCGGCTTTCCGCGCCCTGGGTGGGTAACTGCCCATATATCACTGAATTAAGGTCTAATTGGACAAACGGTGAGCGTGACATCGAATGCCCATATGGGTGAAAGAGGCTGTTAGTGAACTTACAATAAAGCCGCATGTCATCTAAGACAACGCCATCAATAATCACTCACTAGCTTTCCTATAATCGCACTTGAGTCGCGAAGGCACGCATTACATCTATGACGTCACCCGGCTGACCTGCAGATCCTCCACCTTGAGGAAGGAGGTGAGCGTTTGTATGATATCTCCGGCAAGCTCCATGTCGTCCACCCGAATGGTGACCTGGCCGGACTGCTTCATCTGCAGCTGCAGCGGCCGGCACGTCCGTAAGGACGTCATGGTGATGTCCAGGTCACCGGGCACGGCCAGTTCCTCCAGCAACAGGAACGACTGGTTCAGCCACATCACCATCTGGACATGAAAGGGGCAGCGTGTGGGGAGTGGTGAGGGCTCCGAGGGTACACAGAGAACGGTAATGCATGTAGAACATGAACATCGACATCAACAAAGAGGTCACCATCACAAAAAACAGGCTGGGTTCTAAGTCGGCCGGTGAATGCGTAAGTAAAGGATGCGTGGGTTTTTGATCAATGATCATTACAAGTACATACGTTTCTTAAGACACACTGGTACCAAACATTTTCAAGTCGCTTGAAGTCCATCACATTCTCACCCACTCCTAAGCTTTAACCGGATAACTATCGCTCATCAGACCCTCTCAACCTCCGAACTAACCCTCTGGACTCGCTCGTTGAGTTTGAACGTGACGAACCCCTCTGGCGGCTGGACCTGCTCCGTGGAGAGCGCGTACATGGCGAACCGCGGCAGCTGGCGCGTCAGCTCGAATACGTGGTAGTGCTCGCTGTTGACGTAGCCCACCAGCGCCTGAGGAGAGGTGAGGGACCGGGGAGACGGCGTCGGTTATACTAGCGGGTAGCATCAGTGCTACCAAGCGGGAAGTAAGTAGTTAAGTCTTCGAGATTAGTCAGCTCTGCAGCTAACACTTAGTTCCATTCAGGTCCACTTACGAGTATAATATCGTCATGGAAAAGCGAATATTCAGTTCAACCATTGTTTATATAATACTGGATTAGTTTTCAACATTTCAATATCTTAGCTACGCAACTCAAAATCGTAGACAGGTACAGTCTGCTGACCTTGATGTGCAGGTCGTAGGTGACATCCTTGGGCGGGAACAGCGGCACACGGATGGCGTTCGAGCACATGGCCGACGGCGGGTGCACCACGTGACTCTCGCCCTGAAAACAAGTACAAGGTTACGTGACTCAAGTACGTGACTCGCCCCGGGGGCAGCACATGGTCACATGACTGGGTGGTCAACTGGTCAGTGGTCATAGAAGAACGGGGTGCCACGTGACTGAACCTATCGACAACATAGGGTCACGTGATAAAGATCCTCAGCGATCTCTGAGTGATCTAAGACCCATGACGGCACGGGGTCACATGGCTCCCTTCATGACCCAGTCAGCACGTCAGGGCAGGGCGGGCTGAGACGGCTGGTGTAGACAGATCAGTGCACAGCACCGAGCCCGTGCAGCGGGGTCACAGATGCACCGTTGGCGCTAAACAGATACCTAACCAATGACAGAGTGCTCCTGTCCGCTCCCTGACCAGCGACGACAGATTGTAACCATCCGACGCCACCTCAGCCGGCGGACTGGCTCAATACAGGGCACTGAGCTGTCCATGGGCGAGCCATGGGCGCCATCCCGCCCCACTGTGGGACCTAGCGACCCGACAGGAGCGGCCGGCGGGCCGGTGACAGGCGCGGTGACGGGTTCGGTGACAGGTGATGATGATGATTTGGTGTTTTAGGGCGCACCAGCAACGAGGCTATATGGCGCCCATATCTAACCAATCTTCCTCAAAGTCGGGGGTTAAAAATCACCTGAAGCCCGGAGGCCGTGATGAACGAAAAGAGGCGAAAGGAATCGAGAAAAGGGGAGTCGTCGCGGAGAAGTGTTCTCAAAGAGAGCTGGGGGCCACGCAATCCAAAAAACCGCAATCGCTCAGCGTCCAGTCTCGGGCACTCGACCAAGACGTGTCGGACCGAAAGTCGGTCACCACATCTGGTACAAATAGGCCTGGAGCCAACGCCGATCAGGAACCCATGGGTGCCATAAGTGTGCCCGGTACGAAGCCGGCAGAGGACCACCTCCTCGCGTCGCGATCTGCGTGAGGCCGACAACCAGGTAGCTAAACCTGGCTTGATACGTAAAAGTTTGTTACCGTGGGATTGGCTCCAGGCCTCCTGCCACTTTCCGAGGAGGAAAGAGCCCACCGCCGGTACAAAGTCCCTGGCGGGTAGAGGGAATCGGCGGGAGCACGGATACTGCGCAGCATGGTTCGCAGCTCGGTCCGCCCGTTCGTTGCCGTGAATACCGACGTGGCTAGGGATCCAGCAAAAAGACACCGACGTACCCTCTCGGTCGAGGGCTGTCACACGAAGAAGAATCTCCTGTGCGAGGGGGTCAGAAGGATAGAATTGTGACAAGGACTGGAGACCACTCAATGAGTCAGAAAGAATAACATATGACCGAGCGGGATTAATCTCGATAAAACACAGGAGTTTGAGGATAGCGACCAATTCGCAGGAAAAAACGGATGCATGTTTAGGTAAGGTAAAACACCGCACAGCGTCGCCGCAGACGAAAGCACACCCGGCACCGTCATCAGTCTTTGAGCCGTCAGTATAACAGGCTACGTAGTCAGAGTACCTTGAAATATGTTCCAGCGCACGAGCCTTTAAAACAGCTGGAGGGATGTCGCCTTTTCTCACATCGGTGAGGGAAAGGTCCACCTTTGGCGGAACTTGTCTCCACGGTGGGACAGATGGCCACTCCTTACGCATGACCCCCCGAAGTTTAATTTGAGCTTCCGAGAGCAGCGATTGCATACGAGAGCAGAAAGGGGGGTAGCGGACAGTACGTGCACCTTCTCCGGTTCTGAAAAGCGCCAGGTTGGCACGTGAGAAAACTGCATCATAGGCAGGGTGGGAAGGCAACTGGCGGAGTTTTATGGTATATCTCATGCCCAGTAGCTGGCGACGCAAGGCAAGAGGTGGCTCGTGGGCCTCTACAAGGAGGCTGGCTACTGGGGTGGTCCGGAACGCACCAGTGGCAATACGAAGAGCAGTATGGTGCACAGAGTCCAGAATACGTTTCGAGGTCTCCGTGGCGTTATCGTATATAAAACAGCCGTAGTCAAGTCTAGAACGGACAAGAGCACGATAAAGCAAGAGCAGTGTCTTACGATCTGCCCCATAGCAGGTACGCGCAACACATTTCAAAACATTCATAGCTCGAAAACATCGGTCGCGGAGCTCTTTCAGGTGAGTGCGGTAGGTAAGACGGCTGTCTATTACCATCCCAAGAAACTTCACCTCCGACTTCACAGGGATCACTGCACCCCTTAGCCTGACAGAGAAGTCAGGGCAATTACGGCGAAAACGGCAAAAGTGGACACCTACAGTTTTGGCTGTCGAGAATCGTAATCCGTTAACAGCACTCCAGTTTTCTAATCTTTTAATTGCCAACTGGAGCTGTCTCTCTACTATACGTGTGGTTGCACCACTGGCCCAGATAGAGAAGTCATCCACAAAAAGGGCACGGCCAATGGAAGGGGGCAGGTGATCGGCAATATCGTTAATCATTACCCCGAACAGCACAACACTTAGGACTCCTCCTTGGGGGACACCGTTGACCTGGGGGAACTGCTCTGAGAGGTTGCCACCGACACGGACTCTGAAAGACCGGTTAGATAAAAAGCTGGCGAGGAAATGGCCCATTGTACCGCGTATACCGTACTTGAAAAGCTTTTGTAAAATACCGAAACGCCAAGTGGTATCATACGCAGCCTCAATGTCGAAAAACAATGCACCAATGTGTCGCTTCCGCCTAAATGCGCAACGAACCTCGGTATCAAGGGCTAAAATGTGGTCTACTGTGCTCCGATACTTTCTGAAACCGCACTGCGAGTTAGATAAAACACCTTGTTCCTCCAGAAACCAGACGAGACGCGCGTTTACAACTCGCTCAAGCAGCTTGCCCAGGGCAGATGTCAACGCAATAGGGCGGTAGTGAAGCGGATCAAGCCCGCTTTTACCAGCCTTCAGCACCGGGATAATGATGGCCGTCCGCCATGTTTCGGGATACAGCCCTCTTTCCCAGAGCGCATTGAAAAGATGGAGCAATGCTTCAAGGTTGTGGCCGTCCGTCACCACCCGCCACACGGCCGAAGAGGTGACGGTCTGTATACAGTACGGTGGATGCGCTGCCTGACACACTGTCGGCACCCGTCCCAATGGCTGTCGTGTGATGTCAATGACGAGCAGAGAACGAGAGACGTGGGAGAGGGAGAGGGAGAGGGAGAGGGAGAGGGAGAGAGAGAGGGGGAGAGGGAGAGGGAGAGGGAGAGAGAGAGAGAGAGAACGAGCAATGGAGCAGGGCCGACAATAACGAGAGACAAGGACGTAACGCATCCGAAACACCCCAGGGTAGGCCGAAAGACTCCCGTTAGAAAAGCAAGCTGCAAAGGCGCATTGCCAACAATCGACCCTTCATTACCTCCCCATAAGCGTGACAGCCCCAGTCTGGCTACTGTGATTAGCCAGAGACTATTTAATGTTTATGTAGCGGACGGCGCCTGCCGACCGGGGGAACCACCTATGACTCTGACCCGGAGAGCTGCTACCATGGAAATCGGATAGGTCAGCATAGCTTCTACTAAACGTCCCTCTCGCTGGCTTTGGTACACACATGATTCCGCATTGAGTAAACGATACATTAATTACCAGGGAGTCAGGGACGTATTCCGTTGTCGCGCTGCGTTGAAATAAGTTACAGCACAGGAACTAACACCTCAAAGTAATTTGCAATGAGCTGAAGAAACCTAATTAATAACAATTGACTAGTGATCGAATGTGAGCCAAGAATTTAACCACTCCGACTTAGCTAACTAACTAAACGCATTTGGACCGTCGCTCGGACGCGTTACCTGGAAGATGCCCTCTGCGAAGATGAGCGCCGCCCTCATGATGGTGTCGTTGGAGGTGGCCAGCGTGATCTCCACGTGCGGCGGCACCGTTGACGACCCCATGTTCACCGACAGGCCCGTCTGCAGCTGAGTGTTGGCCTGGCGGAGCCGGAGAGAACGGGGGAGGTGAAATAGGCTCAACCAAGGGCTCAACTGCGTCACGGCGGTGATCAAAGCTGGAAGGATAAGAAAAAGGCAAGCTACTCGTAGCTACAGAGACCTCAAACACAGCTGGGTGATGTCCTAGTCTTATTATGTTACTGAGTAGACTCAGTTAGCTTAACAAACTTACTTGTCATAATTAGATACTTGTGGTCATAATTAGATAATTATAACCACAAGTAAGTTTGGATAATCATTCAGGATGCTTTCAAAATGAAACTGGCAGAACATGACGATATCGTCCATCAGCCGATCGATTTAACGCCACACTCACCACTTACCGGTATGATGCCGACGTTCTCGACCGTCTGCCTACTGCCGCTGGACCGGATCGCCTCGTCCACCCGAGAGTTCTCCTGTAGGTCACCGACACAAGCGCACGGGACGGGCGGTTAGAGGGGTATAAACTGCGTAAACATACGACACACTGGTGCCGGGCGGTGGACAGGGCGGTGGCACGGTCACCTTAGTTTCATTGTGAAAAAAAACACAGACGGTTATCAGCGTCAGTTTTACAGCGACGGTCTTACACTTGACTGTTTGACCGCCGTGAGACGATAACTGTTAGGCCTTGATGAATTTTGGCATGCTTGTTGTCTCGATATTCGACGAATGAGTTCAGGTCCAATTGCATGACTCTTAGCAAAGCACTTTTCTAGCCACCGTGTCCGCATGGCAATGGCGAGGGCCCCTACCTCGTAGTTTCTGAGCTCGAGTAGCAGCGTCTGGCGGCGCTGGGACAGCTCGTGAATGGTCTGCTGCTCGATGGTGCTGCCATCTGTAGCCTGGCTGGCCGCCCGCTGCGAGCCGCTAGACGGCGAAAAGCCGCGCACTGGGGGCGGAGGGAAAGGACTGGGGTCAGTCACCGACGAAACCCATTAAATCAAACTAACGATAAGGTTCATGGAGAAAAAGTTGATGCTGCCTGGCAAGTGAATTCATCGCAATGTCGGAAACTTTAAATCGCACCCAATCAGCTGATGAGTTATACGACAGTGCTTCTCTCCCTCGCCACTCCCCAGTGGAGACCCACCTTCTCCGTCGACAGAGCAGCAGATGAGCGAGTCCTTTCCGTCCAGGCGGTAGTCGCCCACCGTCAGACCCGCCACCGACACGTTAAAGTTGTCCTGGTGACATACGCACCGTCAGAGATTGAGCGATTCATCGAAACGGTTTCAAAATATTGATCGTAAGCGCAGCACAATGGAACAACTGCCGCATTGACATACATTTTTAATGAGTCCGATCGATTTTAACGAAGGTAAACTCATTTACAGGCAACTCAGGCAATTTGATCAGTGTGTTATTCCGAGTTCCGACGACCCGTTCATGATGACGCATCACCTTCGAGGAGTGTCCCACCGACCGCCTCCATGTAATATGGACACCGGTTGAAAATGACATGGCAATCTGCTAGCAACATATCGGCACCTCACTTCCTTACCACACACCCGATCTCATATGTTTGCACCTTTGCATGTCATATGTATTTACATTCATATGGAATGCAGCGGTCTTCTATTTCCAGGCCCAATGTAACTTTTCTCACCTTGAATACGACCTCCCCGGTGCGGTCACTGCGTGCGTCCACCTTTCCGTTACTCCAGGCGGTCACCAACTCCGGTACCCCGTCATTGTCGATATCGAAACTCTGCAGGGCCACTGCCGAGTTCTTCGACTGAGGGCAAAACGTGAGGTGTCGGCGACGGACGGTAAACGTTTGTCAGAAGTGGGATTCGAACCCACGCCTGGAGAACCAGACTGCGACCTGAACGCAGCGCCTTAGACCGCTCGGCCATCCTGACACTGACGAAACGTGGCGCAAAAACAGAAAGGATTGATATGCTAGGTCAGTCACGTGGCCAGAACTGACGTCACGGACTCACGGTCAAATGCTGCTGCTAAATCAAAAATGCACTAATGTCCAATGCCATCTATCTAATGTCCTAAAGCAGGAGTCGTTGGCTGGGTGAAGTCGCAGCGTTACCAGACAATTACTGCCATCTACAGGATACACAATACAACGTTTTCCTACACTATTGCAGGAAGCAACTCTTCCTGCCAATAGGCATTAGGCACACGCCAAATCTATGAACACCACCAAGAGATATACGTCTCATTCAAAATCAAAACCCAATGCCAGACACTCTCCGAGACATAAATTCCAACACCAAAATTACGACTATCCAATCATTCCACTACATTAGCCTCTTCCACTCCAACACCCTCCCATGATCCTCTCGGCAGCCCTCTCCTCCGTACCTTGATGCGCCACCAGCGCGACGTTCGGTCGTAGACGCCGACGGTGCCATTGGCCAGGGCGTAGCCGAAGCGCGCGCCGGCCAGCGGCTGCAGCGCCGTCACCGCCTCCGTCTCCGTCACCTCAGCAGAGATGTCGTCGTCGTTGAAGATACGGATGTCGAAGTCGTCAGAGCCTACCAGCAACTGGAGCAGAGAGTGAGGGGGTAGTGAGAGTCTACGAGTACAGAGGCAATGGGAGCCTACCAGTAGCAGGGACTGAGTGTACGAGGGGCAGTGAGAGTCTCTAGAGGCAACAGGGCCTACCAGAAGCTGGAGCGGAGTGTGCAAGGGGCAGTGAGAGCGACAAACAGGGGATGATATGGTGTTATGGTGTACAATAAAATGTGACCGACATAGTGATGGGCTCGCACAGCATCTCATAGTTCAGTTAGTTAGAATACGAAGCTTCTCTTCCAGTTCAGCTAGTTACCAGGCGAATGTGTCATTTCTCGCTCAGCTTGTATTGTAAAAAGCTGAATGTTCCTCGTCTAACTCCGCTAATCAGAAGACGAGATCTTTTTCACTAGCTTAACTATGTAGAAGACATTCCTTACCAATATCAGCTATGTAGAATCCCTTTCCCCGTGACAGCCCGCACCTGGTTCTGTCCGTTCTGGTTGAGGTCGATCAGCGCCATCGAGCGGATGTTGTCGCCCGTGACGTTCCAGTACGGGTCACTACCGTCGGCGTCGAACCCCTGCAGGGCGCAGTTGCCTCCGACCAGTACCAGCGGGTCGGGACGGTCCCCCAGCTTCCCGACCACCAGCGAGTTGGCGCCGTCCGGCAGCTGTGGAGAGCGGAGGGAGGGGTCAGGGGTCACGTCACAGGCATATAGTGCCATGCAGGAGGGAACTGAAGGAAACAGGGGGACGGAGAAGTCTCGCATCTCCGATCTATAGTTCCGGCAGCCGTCATTCAGCAGCAAGGGATATAAGGGGAATAAACTAAACTAGCGGGATAAAGTAGGGCATGCACGATTGCTGCTGGTATGTTTGCATTGCAGTCATAACCTACATGACATCAGTTATGACACACTAATGTCAAACTCGCCACAATGAGTCTCACCTCTCCCTCTCCATCATCCTTCCTTCGGTCCTTCATCCCTTACCTCACCGTCGTCCTTCCATGCCCTGCCGTAGGCTCACCTCCTTGTAGAAGAGGTCGGCGTTGTTGGCCACGTCGTACACCTGCAAGCTGGACGGAGTGCCCACACAGAGCACATCCCCCATCGGACCGGCGTCGGCGGTCGCCTTCTTCAGACGGCCGCAGCATAGCGACGTCACCTGAGAATGCGTTACACATGTCGGTTAGTTCAGCTGAGGCATCACACACAAACAAAGGTGACATCACCTTGAACACTTGACACACAACGGCGACGTCAGCGACATATAGTATGCGGCGGGCTCAGAGTTTCAGAGATGATAAGTGTGTCAAAGTGTGCGTGCACCTACTAGAGCCTGGAGTTGCAGAGGCTCAGCTGGCTCACCTGCTGGTTGATGTTGAGGATGGAGACGTCCGAGGCCACCTTGCTGCCCTGCAGCCGGCCGCCCAGCTCCCCGCTCCGCTCGTGGGGGTTATGCACCAGCAGCTGCAGGACGGCGGTAGATGTGCATTACGAACTCGTCGCCGTGGGACAACGTGCTGACTTAAACATCGGAGACTCGTTTTATGAAAGTAAACCCACGCGGCTTCCTAACGAACAAATTGAAAATAAGGGTTTGATTGGTATACCAAAGCCGTCAATATACAGTCAGGACTTCGAAATCGAATAAAAGCCATGATATATTGGTGAAATTCATCCATTTCAGTGAAACATGTACAGGACGGATTGTATCAATCAGCTTACAAAACGAGTTGGTAGCTTTTATTAAATGAAGCATCCAACCAGCGTTGGCAGCATGTCCCCTCTGGCGGTGCCGGCGGCCACTCGCACCAAAGATCTGACTGATACCGCACCTTGTCGCCGCTGGTGGCCGCCGTCAGACACGGGTACGTGCCATCGAACACCCCGAGCGTCACCAGGCCCGGCACCAGCTTGTGGTTCAGCTTCAGCGTGAACAGCGGCAGCATGGTGACCGTCCTCGGAGTCACTCAGCAGGACTCAGCGCCGCCCTGGAACCGTCACAAAACGATCGGTGAATAATAAGGAGTTCGCTGACTGGCACCTTCGGAGCACACGAGAACTACATCATCAGCGGATGATATCAACTTCTTCGAGGCATAAGTCATTAGTGCCATTACTACAACTGCACCGTGCACGGTTCACCCCTCCCCTCTCCATCAGCCCCCCCCCCCCCACACACACACACTGCATCTTCCGGATTTCCGACAGGTACTGAGTACTGACGGCATACCTGTTCTAGATGGAGCGAGACTCACAGCTCTGTACAATGTAGAACAGGGAGTGATGGCCGAAATGGAACATTCATGAGCACATACAAATTCAGCTACCCGGTAACTTATCCAAACTCCCGCTAACTATTCCTGTACAGAACGGTTCTGAGAGGGGCACGCGGAACTTGCAGATCCCGGACGGTCCGGATGAGGCAGTGATTTCAGTGGCGTTCGTTTTCCGGTTGTCTACAAGACTATTCCGGGAGTTCGGGATAACGATAGTGTTATGTGCCGCCATCCCTGGTTTGCAGCCTGGTGAGCAGCGGTATGATACCCGAGGACTACTCTGCTTCCGATTTGACTTTGTGGCTGCCACACGAGGCGGGACAAAAACATACGGCGATAGGTGATGTGCAATACACCGGTAAACTACTGGAAAACACGATAGTTTAAAGGGGAAATATATTTGAAAAAGCCTGGAAGCCGAAAGGAAATAAGAAACACAAATAAAGCAAACAGCATTATCTAAACACGGCGAGATCATAAACAGAATTCAACAGTAAAACACGGAAAGTTGATAGTTATCCCTACTCAACGTTCATCAGATTAATCGAGGAAGACAGGCTCGATGACCAGACTCCATTATTACACTGAGTGGGTGCGCCTGTCGTCAATCGCAATAGCAGTTACACGGTCCACAGATAGCGCCTCCGTAACATTAGCGAAACCACAAATGATCCTGCATAACGCAAGAGTCAGTGTCACGCTACCCAGTCAATAACAAACAGGCAACAATCACAATTACTGCTGGTCATTGCCAAATGGCAACTGTCAGCCATGAGCCTAGTGAATCTTGTTGACACCTTAAAGCACTATTAGCACTCCTATCATGGCAACATACAAGATAAGCACATCTTAACCATAATTTAATACAATGGCTAAACAAATGTTCAGCTGCAAATAAGTGCAAATTTACCTTAAGAACCTTAATTACCATAAGAAAAACATCTTGGTTTTTGTTTATTTTATCATCAAATGGGGTTAACACTTAACTCGCACAAGAATAGCAATAATTCTAGCCACTATGTTAAAAGTTTATCATGAACAATGAACACCAAATAACTACAAAAATGACTGAAAGTGACAAAAAATGAAAAATCAATAGTGACAAGAGCTAGGAAACATCAACTAAAGGAATCAGCAACAGAAGCAAATGCAAGAAAAGATCATCTTGGTTTGATCATTGATCAATCCAAACCGATCAGAGGCTAATCTGATCAATCCAAACCGATCATCGATCAATCAAACCGAGCTGATCAGAGGCTGATTGAACGAGTGCAGCGGAGAGCAACCAAACTGGTCCGAGAGCTGAGACACTTGCCCTATCAGGAACGCCTCCGGCGCCTCAAGCTCCCATCAATGTACCACCGAAGACGGAGAGGAGACGTAATCGCCATCTTCCAGATTTTGACGGGTGGAGTTAACGTTCGGCCGGACCAGTTTTTCGAGCAGGCAGTGTCATCTGTCACCAGAGGACATGCTCTGAAGCTGTTGAAGCCTCAAGCTACTTCAAGACCTAGGAGAAACTCTCTATCGGTCCGCGCCATCAACGACTGGAACGCGCTTCCTGCCTCTGTGGTCCTCTCTACGTCTGTCAATCTCTTCAAAGCCCGTCTCGACTCTCACTGGGGTGATGCATCCTTTGACATCCCAGTCCAAGATTCATGACTGTCACTAGTAAGGAGCTCGATGAGATCAGATCCCTACAGGCCTTATAGGCCTCAAAATTCTGTATTGGTAAGGTAAGGTAAGGTAAGGTAAGGTAATCCAATACCAACGTTCACCAACTGCAACCAACGTTTAATACCAACGTTAAATACGTCAAGATTGATTCTTATTCTGATGACGGTGCAATATCGAAATATATCAATTTAGTTTAAATTATATCAATTTGCAACATATAACATGAACATAAGGTTATTCACTCTATTTACATTATTAATCATGCTCAGAAATACCATAGGTAGCTTACCTCCAAGCACTCCAATAGGTACCTATTAAATGAACATTTTGTACCTATTAGATGATAATTTTGACCGTGATTAGATTGTCCATGATACAACAAACAACAGCGACCGTGTGTTGTAATAGGTAATAATTTTGTAAATCATTATAGATGAGTTCGATGAGTTGCAACTTAGATACAAAGTTGCAACTTGCAAGAGGATGACATTCCACTGGGCAGGGAATTTATGACATCACAATAATGAATAAAACAGGTAAAATACTTGAATAAAATGTTGTAAAACTGTAAAACGTTAGTAAAGTTTGATGAAACTTAACATTTAACAGTCTTGAACGGCTCTCTCTATCGTCTGGAGGTTTCGAAAGATGCTCTCCAGAGATGGCGCTAGTAAATTTGGCTGACATGACGTCATGCTAAAAAGTGATGGGTTTTGTGAGAGCAAATGTAATAATAGTTGAAAATTTTGTACTTTTGCTTAATTAAGAAAAATAAATATACAATTGTTCAAAACAGTGTTTTCCTCATTCAACCTTCATTGTTTTAAGAGGAATATAGACAGTTTAAATATTTTTTCTTGACTGCAATTCGCACACGCACTAAATTAAAAGCTGGAGTTTTGTGCGTTCGTAAATCGTGATTTGAGAAAATAAGTTGACAATAATCTTTTGCACTTTTGCTTTACAATCATTTTTCAATGCAGATAAATGCATAAATTATTCGAAAAAAGGCATATCTTTGAAATATTATGATTTTCCACAAGCAAATTTTCCCAAAAACTTGAACTACTTACAACTGACGAACGCATCCAATAATCTGGATGTCTTAGGATGAGTTCGTCATTTTTTTCCAAGGAAATACGATACAGTTCAAGCTACTTTACCGATTTATTAGGGTACTTTTGCCAATGAATTAATAAATAAATGACAACAATCAATCTCATTATCAACCATACTCGGAAGAATTTTCTTCGCATAAGCGCGAACACATCCGCGCTTTCATGAAAAGTCACGCCTGTAGATGTCAGGACTGCTGCTTTATGTTTCGCAAGGTGGCGCAGCGCGCAGGGTACCGACTACCGAGGCTGAGGTCTCCAGACTCTCCACCACGATTTAACTTGGAAATGGCCGATGGGGAAGGTCTCACCCAAAAACGGACGCCCTTTTACACAACTGCATAAAGAGAATGAATTATTGGCATAGCTGACCACACGTCCCCTCCCCCTCTCCGCCCCAGCTCAATAGGAAATATCGCCTATTTTCCTTAGTCAGTTATATTCTGACTAATTTCTCACTCTTCCCAGTACACCTTAACATGCATGATGCAGATGTCCACTGCGTAAGTCGTGTGCTTCCGTAAGTGTGCCAACTGTATAGTGTTGCCTACACTCTACAGTGCCTACTGCTTCCCCATTGTCGTTATAATTGGTGATTCTCAGGTCAAAAGTTACACAGTGGTCTCAGAGAACAATCGTTTCAACAAATTAACGATTCAAACCGTTGCATTCTACTGATATTCCGGTCAGTTCTGCTACTAAACGATTCCGGCAAAACACTCTTTAGGTTATGTATTAGCGAACCACCAAACAAAATTCGCCCAATCAATGGTCAGTTATTACTGCTGGGCTGAACCGTCATACGCTATATAGCCTATTGCAGTCAATATTTTCAGAACGATACTGACTGACGAAACACAACGTATTCGCGGATTCGCACATACGTTGGCACCCAGGTGGCCTGTCAGCAGCCGCACAAATCCGCACAGCGCAGCCGGGATTTGACATTGAGATGGTACACCGTAAAGCATGCCTTTCCACACAGGCACAAGCACAGGGACACAAATTCTCAAAATCCAAACTTATTCCAATACTGGTCAATTACGAATAGGCATAAAGTTTTGAGGTTTTCTCATGTTCATTCTTCTTTCAACACACGCGGCAGACTGCAGCAGCTGCAGAACATCTCACAGAGCTGCGCTGGATGCAGTCATGAGCTGGGACACGGTTTGTGACCACTGACCAATGACCGATCGGGGGTGCCAGCCTCCTCCCGGCACGCGATGCACTGGCCGCCGCGCAGTCGATGTCGGGGCACCGCCGGCATTCGCCGACAGGGTTCCATCCGATTCGGTGTATTGGTGGCAGCCCGAACAGTGACCCACGCGAAGCTGGCGGACGTCGATGGCCGATGAGCGATGCCCTTCCGCGACCGGCGGTGGCAGTCGGTCCCACATCAAGAACAGATACCAGTCATGCGGTCAGTCGGCGACGGCGCTGTCGCGAGCCGATCTGATGGTCGCGCGGTGGGCGTTGCCGACGTCCACCGGGACCGTCGACTGGGGGAGCGCGGCCGCCTCTTGGCCGCCGCCTCTGGTCGGCGAGCTCGTTGCGCTGTGGGACGGCATCCACTGCAAGTCGTTCACTGTGAAGCGGTCGTTTGACCGGACCTGGCAGGCGGGGAAAGGGGGCCTCAGATGAAGTAAAACCATCCCTCAGGCCAGCTTGAACTGGCTCTCCACCTCACCATGTTAGATAAGCGGACACCCTCGTGATCATTGCAGCGATGATTGCCAATTGGTGTGTCATTATGGGAGAGGATGCCAGCCTCCTTTGCAAGATAGTCTGCCTTTAATATAGTGCAGCCCGACCCATTGCCTGTGGCGCAGACTGGGCTTGATAATGCAGTGCAGGACACACCAAACGTAAGCGGCCATCTGTACCCCCTGTGCAGTAGGGCTGACTCAAGAGCCCAGAGTTGCCCTCCCCCCACCATTCTGTGCACGTGATAACTGGATGGGACATGCCATGGTCAGCATCTGTTCAAAAGCTGCCCTTAGCATGTAAAGCTCCACTGGCATGCTCAAGCATGGTCACAGTCAGTTCTCACTTCTCAGTTGAACCTCCAATGGAAACCCATCACAAAGTAGAGATCAGGGCACCTCTCACACTGCAGCACACTTAACAACTGAGGCACCATCTCATCACTTGCAGGTGGTTCTTGCCAGGAGCAATGCCAGCCACGCACATCAGGTGATAACAGCAGTGTACAACTGCAATCTACAAGCATCCATGTTCTTTCTGGTTTTCTCCTGTTGAGATCCACTGCCATGCATGAACTTGATGGGCTTTTGTTGCGCTCCTCCCATGTGCAGACAGGTTTCTGCTGAAACAAAGCAAAGCAAATGTGATTAATAATGGCCCTGTTTCACCATCCAGACACTGTGTGCACTGGTAGCTACGGCATACCATAGCATCACTCAAATGACGTTGCATGTGATCTCTTAGTTTATGATCAATCGCGTTTGGAACAGAGTGAGAGGTTCTGAAGAACCGTACCAAGAACAGAGGTTTGAGTTCAAATACTGCTAGCATGCTGCTGGTGCTGGTACCGCAGCGTGCAGCGTTCTGGGATGCTGTCATAGCTTAGCGTCACAGTGAAGTTTGTTGACACTGCCATGGAAACCCAATGCTCTGACACACGCAGCGCACTGCAGTGCTGAGCACTGCAGTGCGTGCTCTGCCGTGAAACTCCACCCATGAACGTTGGTTGCATGACCAGGATGGAGCAGTGTGGCAGACAGTGATTTTAATTTTAATTGCACTTCCTAGAGATTAAAATGTTGTTGGTGAAATTGCTATTCATTATTCCTATTACCATTGTCTAAATTTCACATTTCAAGACAGTATCAGCATTGACATGTTATATAAAATAAGGTTTAGACTTCAGGTGGTCCCGGGTTCAGCTATTAAGTAAAACAAGGGCAAAAAATTGTCAAAATTTAAAAAAAATACCTGCCTTCATCAACACCTCATCTAATCTAACCTCATCCTCATCTAACAAGGCCCTAAAAGCAAAAACCGTTTGAATAACAATGCAATATTTTGCAACCGCTGCACCATTACTGTCACGTACGCTATCCCTAGATTGGTTGCTGGTAAGTAGTGGTTGTCGTCATCAACTCGTCATGCAGCAGCTGATTGGGATGGGCGGGGCCTATTTTTATCCAGGCGATAGAGAGAGCCTCTTGAACCATATATTTCAAAGCAAATATGTAATAAAGTCATAAAGATGAATTGAATACTGTAAGGCAGCGTTCGATGTCTCCCGGACGGCAAAGATTCTTTGCCGTCCAGCCAATCCCGTCCAAGGTCAGCGGGGGCTCGGCTGCGGTTATGAAACGTGATTGGCCGAACGGCGTAGAATCTTCGCCGTCCGAGAGACATCGAACGCGGGGTATATCTTGAACTAATGCTGGCCGCTGATTTGTTTCAATTACTACGTCATAGTTTCAAGATACTTATACTTTCTTATACTTTTCGTAAGCTTGAAAAAATGCGACGATCATGAACGATCAATGACATTTATAATTTTACATTTGATGATGTCTTTCAGTATAATGAGGTATGAATGCAATCAATTGAATTCGGTTGACGGCGTGGTTCGCGTGGTTTTATAGATTGGTAGACTTTTTGCAGTTTCCCTTAAGTGCTAGGGTGTTTTTTACGGGATATTCTGTTCCCGTCCTGTTCAGCATTTCTTTTTTTTTTTATCACAAATAGCCTTGTCTTTGCGTAAAATTGAATTCTGGTGGATTTAGTCTCGACAGCTTTTCGTCTCATTTGTCTCACTCTGCCCGAGCGGCTTCCCACTATTAAAGCAAGATTCCACGGTGAGTCTGCTTTCCCTCCTCTTCACGTCTTCATTTTTTGTCGACTACTCTTTGGCAAGACTTGTAATTTCCTCACAAGATTATCTCGCTTTTCTGTGTCGTTCTCTCCAGCTATGCCAGCCATGTTCTCCAAGGCGGTTACCGCTACTGACGAAGGTCAATTCCTTCCCACTGGACCTGCTTACCTCCTCGTGAGATTTAAGGAAAAAAACCAAAGCTTTCGGAACTTCAGCCCTTACAAAATTCGAGATGAGCTCCTGGACGTGATCCATTATGCAGCTGCTAAGGTTTCTGCACTTCGAAGCGGCTCTCTGCTTGTCAAAACGAGGGACATGTACCAGACCGAGGCTCTGCTAGCCTGGAGGTCATTCAGGGGGGAGGACATCTCTGTGATTCCAGCAGACCGCCTAAACCAGGTGGAGGGGATGGTCTATGCCCCTGAGCTCTCAATGGAGTCTCCTCAAACCATACTTGAGGAAAGCCGTGAACAGGGTGTCACAAGTGTCACACGCCTCCCTTCAAAAAATTCCAGACCGAACCCACTGCTCAAGGTGAGGTTTTCGGCCACACAGCTGCCTGAACACCTTTATGCAGTGTACATGCGCTATGAAGTCAGGCCATCTCACCAGCTGCCTCGGCGCTGTGGCAAGTGCCAGCGTTATGGACACGGACAAGGCACATGTAGGTCTCGTGCTGAAATATGCAAACGTTGCTCAGAGGAGCATCCGTCTACAGGGTG